TGAATAGAGCACTACCCATCCATCGATTCGCCGTTCTGGGTCATTCCCGAGGGAGTCCATCTCCAAACGGTAGTGTAGTTGAATCGATCGAGCTAGGAGGATACCCAACATCGATCCAAAGAACGGACCTAGGATGATTCAAACCAAGAGAGCTTCCAACCTTGTATATAGCTAGGTTAGTTAGTTTAATTCTTCTAATCACCGTCCTCGGTTGGCTAGATAATGAAACCTAAATCTGAAGTAGGATAAGCCTAGATCCCCGTGGTACGATAAATTCTTATTGCTTGCTTCCCTATGCTACAGCCGATCAGCGGTTATACTTGGTCGTCAATCAGGATGTTGTAGTTAGAACAAGTCACTCGCTTCGACTATCACAATAAAATCCCACCTAAGGTCCAAGTATAAGCCTTAGATGGGTGCAATATATGGCAAGTATGTTTGAATATCAACCTAGGCCGGTCCATGTACTGCTACTTCGATTGTTTGAAACATTATCTAGCAGATGGTTTTGGTGAAAACAAAGATCTAAAGCTAAAGTACTTGCAAAGAGAAATAGTTTTGACACTAATTGAGTAGGCTTCACCTGGGTGTTGCTCTCCTTAGCTAGCAATTACAACTAGATGGATCGAATGGCCGTGTGTGGTGAGGGGGTTGTAACCCTTTGGGAAGTCTAATAAGCGGCCAAAGCTAATATGAAATAGGAGGTTTGCCATGCGTTAACATAACTAGGAGATAATGAATTGCCTGAGAAAACCCAGCATTCAAGTTTCTTTTAAAGAAAGGAAGGGGGTTTTCTCTCTACCTAGGTTAGAATGGCAATTAGATTGATAGGCTTTCACACAACACAATCATTCATGAATAGTACCTCCACATTCACATTAAACCCAACCACACACAAATCATTCAATTCATACAAGCATTAACATAAATGTAGCTAGGGTTTACAAACACTCAAGTGAAAGAAGGGACTACTCCATGCTAGGAGAAGGGAAAACATTGTGTTTTCCCTTCTCAAGAAAGGCGAGGCGAGAGCATTGGTTGATACCAGTGCAACCAACAACTTCCTTAGAGTGGAGGAGGCGGAGCACTTGGGGATTTCTTACGAGAATAGGCATGGATCGCTCAAGAACGTCAACTCCAAGGCAATACCAATCCATGGGGTTGCCAAAAATGTGTCATTGAAGATTGAAGATTGGGAAGGTGTTGCCGACTTCAGCATCATCACAATGGATGATCATACGGTCATCTTTGGCGTCAATTTCATGGTGAAGGAGGGTTCGGTGATGGCGTTGAATTCTAACATTCTCTACCTCGATAAGGGAGAAGTTTTGTGCGGTGAAGTTGTTGTGCAAAGAAGGGCCGAGAAGAGCTCTATCGGCCATGCAAGTGGTGAAAGGAGTGAAAAAGATGGAACCCACGTCCCATGTTACTTTGCATATGAAGGAAGAAGGAGGCTCGATGGCGACAACACCTCTCATCGAGGGCGTGTTGGAGGAGTTCATGGAGGTGATGCCGAAAGAATCGCCAAACAAGCTCCTGCCACGAAGAGAAGTCGATCACAAGATTGAGGTTGAGCCAGGAGCAACGCCACCAACAAGAGCACCTTATCGCATGGCCCCACCCGAGTTGGAGGAATTGAAGAAGCAACTAAAGGAATTGGTGGATATTGGCTTCATCCGATCATCGAAATCCCCCTATGGAGTACCCGTGTTGTTCCAAAAGAAGAAGGATGGTTCATTGCGGATGTGCATCGACTATCGAGCTATCAACAAGCTCACGGTGAAGAACAAGTAGCCAATCCCCAACATTGCCGACTTGTTTGATCAACTTGGAGAAGCAAAGTGGTTCATGAAGCTTGACCTTCGCTCGGGGTACTATCAAGTGAGGATAGTCGAGGGGGAGGAAGCGAAGACTGCTTGCGTCACGAGGTACGACTCATACGAGTTCTTAGTTATGCCTTTTGGTCTAACCAATGCTCCTGCTACTTTTTGCACTCTAATGAATCAAGTATTCGAGCCGTTCTTGTATCTCTTCGTCGTGGTGTATTTAGATGACATCATGGTGTACAGCAGCACATACGATGAACATGCCGAGCACTTATGAAAAGTCTTCCAAGTCCTTCGAGACAACGGGCTATATGTCAAGAAGGAGAAGTGCATGTTTGCCGCCGTGGAGGTTCCTTTCCTCGGCCATATCATTGGTGGAGGCAAACTGAAGATGGACAGAGCGAAGGTGGAGGCGGTACAAGTATGGGAGACACCAACGAGGGTCACCCAGTTGCGATCATTCCTCGGACTGGACAACTATTATAGGAGATTTAGTAAGGGATACTCCGATCTTACAACATCCTTGATGGATTTTCTAAAGAAGAACAAGGCTTGGGAATGGTTGGACTGGTGCCATGAAGCTTTTGAAGCCTTGAAGGATGCAGTTACAAGCGATCTTGTGCTAGCGCTTCCTGATCCCACCAAGGCGTATGCGATGCAAGAAAAGGATATGACGACGGTGGTCAATTGTTTTAGAACATGGAGGCATTACTTGCTCGGGTCAAAATTCGTGGTAAAGACGGACAACGTGGCAACGAGCTACTTTCTCACGCAGAAGAAGCTCAGCCCCAAGCCAGCAAGGTGGCAAGAATTCTTCGCGGAGTTAAACTTTGTGTTAGGTACAAACAGGGGAAAGTCAACTTTGTTGTCGATGCTCTTAGCCGAAAGAGCACACTTGCCGCCATCAGCAATCCACGGTTCCCCTTGAGGGAGAGGATCGAAGAAGGCCTTGGTCACGACCCCTTCGCCAAAACCGTGGTCGAGTACATCAAGCAAGGGAAGACTTGGAGGTTTTGGATGAAAGGTTGGCTCATCGTCAGTAAGGGGGAGCGAGTGTTCGTGTCGCGTTGGGACAACCTATGAAGGAAGATTATGAAGGAGCGTTACGACTCAAAGTGGGTTGGTCACCCCGGTATCGAGAACACACAAGCTCTGGTTGAAGAGGCTTACTATTGGCCTCATATGCAAGACGACGTGGAACTTTACGTCAAGACTTGCCTTGTCTGCCAGCAAGACAAGATGAAGCAGCGGAGTCCGGCGGGCTTGTTGGAGCCATTACCCACTCCACAACGACCTTGGGAAAGTGTTAGCATGGATTTTATCATCGGCCTTCCCAAATTCGAAGGGTGTGGTTCCATCATGGTCGTCATCGATATATTTTCAAAGTATGGAGTCTTCATCCTGGGGCCGAAAGACATGAAGGCCGAGGATGCAACCCGTTTGTTTTTTTATAACACTAAATTTGCACATGTTTTTAACCCTCGTTTCTTGATTGTTTAGCTTGGTGTTTATCATACTTTGGCCTATTTTACGTTAAGTTGTGTCCTTTTTCACCAAAGTTCAAAAAGACACTAGGCGTAAGGCAAGCGCTTGGCTCCTGATTTGTGCCTTGCCTGATTAAGCGTAGCCTAGGCATGCTTACGCATTCGCAGCAAAAATGGAAAAAATTCTCACAATTTCATGTTATTAGAATAGCTTCATATGATCCCCAAGTTCATATAAAATTAGAAACACCTAGTTCTCAACAGTTAATACTTAACATAACAAATAACAAGCAAGTAGCAACCCCTTCCTAGAATCACAAGTTCATAAAATGTCGAAATGCTAAACAATAGTCAATAAGCACATTGGTAAATTTTCATTCTTCATCATCCAAGTAATTCCTTCCAGACACCACTTCATCTTCATCATCCTCAGAAGCAATCTCCTCTCCATACTCCTCTTCCTCGTCTTCATACTCGAATTCTTCATCATGGATCTCTCTCATTCTAGTACTCTGACGAAGCCCAATGTGTTCACTAGTCATTGCATCTATAACAACAAGAAGTAGTAAGTTCAGTAGACACTACACTCCCTTTCACAGCCAGCAGTCATTGATTTTGAATCCTGATTAAACTTCAGAGCCATTAGTAACACAACAACAGTAGTAGCCATTGTCAAATCTTTCTGTTAATACTTAAAACCCAAACCCCATAGCCCCAAAGGCCAAATCATAATCAATCCCCAAAACCAGCAGTAAACTAACAATAGTAGCTAAAGCAAATCTCCAACCATCACAGCTACAACCAACAATAAATCTCAACTTCTCACAACCAGCAAAGCTTGACCAGCTCCAGAACAGACGAAACATAGGCAAAGCTGGACAAACCTCACGTCCCAATTCATTTTGCAGTAACAATCACAACAAACCAAGGAACACCTACTCTCCAAAACTAGCTACCTTATTAAAAATGGAAACAAAACACGGCGTTGAAGTTCAGTAGCAGCAAACATGTCCCAACTAGCACCTAGCAATGAATCCTCCAATTTCTCGGGTATAACTTCTTTAGTTGCATAGTGCTTTGCAAATCTCTTCAAGACTTTGTATTCCCAAGCGTAGCATCCTGGGATGTGATCAACTCCAAATGATGGATTAAATTCCATTAATCAACTTATTGTGCATACATAACAACAACATCTACTCATAAATTCATTTCCAGGAGCACATTAAATGCATTCCATATAACTAGCAAAAAAGATGGGAAGAGACCTTTCTAGTACGAGTAAGGATCCCCATGACATTTAAGAAATCCTACTTGAGGGACAGAAAACAGCATGGTATACTTGTACTGCATATAATGGCATCTCCCTCATTGTTCTTGAGAGAAGTTTATAAAGGGAATGACGAAACTCGTGAAATAGAGTTTTGTAGCTCCGAGTGATTAAGCCTCACACTTGATGAATCATGTGAACCTAAAAAATTGCAGACAAGGGCCACAACCTGCACAACATAACCATATGGAGATGAAATCAACATCAACATGAACTGAAAACGAAAGGGAACTGAAGTTAATTAATAAGGTACTACTAAATTCCATAGGAAACCAACCAAATTAATAAATTAGCAATAGCAAACTCATTTAGGCAATTTCTACCTTTTCATGTGTTTCTGAATTCTAGGTTTGTCTCGAATCTTCAATTGAGCAATTGGGCAGCATTGCAAATAGTCATATACCAACAACACCAGCTCAACCTCCGGTTCCCTGAAATGACGCCGACTGCCGCCCTTTTTTCCCAATCCCCTCTCTCTGCCCCGCCACCACGACTTCCTCCTTCCTCTCCTCCGATCTTGAGAAGCTCTCCATCCTCTACCACGACAACGGTGGCATCGTCTACAAGGTCTGCCACCAACGCACCTTCTAGATTCATGCCTTCAAGCAGAGCTATTGCCGACAACAAGGAAGAGGAGTTGAGGAGAGGAGAGTAGGGATGGCAATGGTTCGGTTTGGGCAAACCCAAACCCATGAGTTTATCCGTGAAAAAAACCCGGGGTAAAACCCACCGGGTTTGAAAAACTCAAACCCAACCCGCTGGGTATTCGCGGGTTCATGGGTACCCACGGGTTTTTGTCGTAAAAAATTAACAATAACAAATTCCTATCAAAATTAAAGTCAAATATCAATATCTCAATACAAATTATCCATATATAAAACATCATTCTAGAAAATTCATGCAAATCACAAATTAACTATACAAATTGTTCAACACCAATATAGAAAACTCAAGAAAATTGAAGCAAATCACAAACTATCCATAATAACATGATTCAATGAAAACTTCTTCCTTTCAATTAAGTTTTTCACTCTCCACTCGATAACATCAACTTCATTCTACATAACTAGAAAGAAAAAATTAGACATGTCTCCACAAACATAAATAAGATTAGTTGTTGGTATATTAAATATGTCGAGAAAATTAATTATATGGGTGTGGGCGGGTATCCATGGGTCGGGTTTACCTAAACCCAAACCCAACCCAGCCCGATGAATAGTGAACGTGTTTAAACCCAAACCTGGCCCAAAACCCGTCAACACGGATTTTACCCGCGTTGACCGGGTTGGGTCGGATGGGTACCCGTGGGTTCGGGTTTTGTTGCCATCCCTAGAGGAGAGAGACCGCGACAAATTCCTCATTTCTAACCCTAGAAATTAAAGAAGAACAAATGAGAAGAGAGAGGTTTGACTCGCACGAAACTACACCACAATTAAACCCCAATTAGAGCCCAAGTTTTTAAACTCTAATCGGGTGCATTACAGGGCAGGTATCTATATATCGACCCGGGCCGGTCCGTCTACCCCTACTTCGATTGCTGAAATCATTATCTAGCAATAAAACATTGGTTTAAAGGTTTGCCAAATGAAATAAAAGAGAGCAAAAGTAATTTGGTCTGAAAACTCTTTTGTGGGAAAGTCACTTGGGTTTCGCTTCCCCCTAACCGCTACCATGCTATGTGGGATAAAATGATTGCCTTGGGCACGTTGATCGTGAACCGCAGAGGAAAGCGTATGTGGTCGGAGACCACAGTCTCCATTGCTAAACCGAGATGAGGATGAAAAGTTGTTTCACTCGACCCTCTCGGCTAAGACAATCGGTAATCGACTTACTTCCTCACTCAACTCTAAGGTTGGATGTTTAACCACGATTAATTGACTTGTTCAATTCATTATTGAGGATTGCCCTAAATCAACCTAGTTTAGGTGGCTTGGAAAGCGGAAGGAAAACCAACTTGATTGAGTCTCCCTTAAAAAGGGGAATTTTCCTCTCTAAACTAGGCTAAGTTGCCAAAGTAGATTACTAGCACCTAAATGCACAAACTTAGCGGTGCTAAGCACAATTATGCACAATCCCTAGGATGCTAAGCACAAAATATGCACAACCCCTAAGTTTCTAAGCACAAGCATGCAAAATCATGGTGAAAAATACCTCAAACATTAAATTGAAAAATACCCAATATCAATCATCCAAACCACATACAAGAAAACTACATGGTATGGTTTAGGGTTTCACTACACCCAAGTGAAAGGTTGACTACTCCATGGAAGAAGTGGGAAGAACAAAGGGGACAAAGGTGGAAACCATCTTTTGGGGATGCCTGCTCTCTTCTTGACCCTTGAGCTAGGATTTCCTTGGGGAAATCTTCCCAAAACCTCCTTTGAAGCCAAGCCCTAACTCTTCTTCTCTTTGGTTATGTTTCTCTCACTAAAATGCAGAAGAAGGTGTTTCTCTCACAAAAGTAGCTTTCCCCTCTCTCCTCTTTGCAGATCAGCTTTTAAACCCGAGAAGACCCAAGTTCACGGCCGTGAACCATCAAACGCGTCCGTGAACTCACGCCTTGCGCCAAAACGCTCCGCTTCGATCACGGCAGTTCACGGGCAACTTCTTGTGTTCACGGTCTTAGTGACCGTGAACTCCCCTTGCATCAGTAACCTTCAACTTGGCTCTGGACGCCTTGCGCTTCACGGTCAACTTCCCTTCTTCACGGTCTTGCACGACCGTGAAATCCTGCCTTTAGCCGTGAACTTGTGCTTTTTCACCTCTTCTCCCGGTTTTCGATCCTTTTCGCCAATCCTTTGACTGGTTCCGCCTTTTAAATCCTGAAAAGCACTCAAACACGAAGATCCTCGCATAAAACCAAACTTTAATGAGCGAATTTGGCACAAACATCTAAGCAAACCGGGGGCAAAATATGTGCAATTATGCCCGAATCACTCCCCTACACTTAGACGTTTGCTTGTCCCCAAGCAAACCATTTCACGCAAACCGTAATATTTCAACCTACACAAATGCTTTGGGGACAACTCAAAGGACACGAAGCGCGAATTCTCGATGTTTATTGACAATCAACACATGAACCGTTGCAAGCAATACCGACATCCACCACAAACGACATTCAAAGCCACCAAAACGAGCAAACAAAAAGTTATCAACTTATTCATGGATAAATGCAAGTCTCGACGAAACCACTTATGGGCCACAACCAACCATGCATGGAATTCAAGTCCGAGGGACAAATTGAAAGGCAATGAAGGTCCTCAACGGGTATGATACGACACGAAAAGCAAGAATGAATCGCTCACTCTCAAGACCAGTAGGGTCGGGACCTTTTTGGTGCAAAAGATGTGCACAATCGTAACCTCTCGGCCCTATCGTCTAAATACCACGACGGTAACCTCTAAATGCTTGAGTTCACGGGATGGTTGTCACCACTAGCTCGTCCGGAGGTCTTAGACACAAGTTCAGATGTCTGGCGATTGGCTTGGACATGGGGAAAAGGCTTTTTGGGTGGTGGCAATCATGACGTGAGGTTCTACATATTCAACCTAAACCCAAAGGGTCTATGGTTTCGACTAAAACCCTTCTCTTCAATCAAAGGCCACTAGCATCGACCAAAACCCTTATCTCTCCCTTCCAGCTATCACCAAACTATGAACTACATTGAAGCACTCTTCCTCGGTAAACTCTTGCTAGTTCTTTAAGGTTTGGTAGTGAAGGAGTTCTAAACAATGTGGGGGTTTCGATGGCTTGGGTGCCAAGAAACCCCTTCCTAGAGCATGTACTTTGGTTTTTCGTGGCGCTCTCTACTTTATTTAACTCATTTATTACCTCTTTTTCGCTTTTCTTTTCTTTCTCTTTTTTTTTCTTTTTGAGGGGGGTATTGGAGAGTAAAAACACTTGCCACCTAAACATTTATCGACCAATGCTATCTTTTTTTTTTTGGAGGAACTAACTCCAACACTACACTCCATTTTGCACCCCTAGCAAGAACTACACATGAACCTCCTATGTAGAACCTCTATAGAAACTCAACAGTAAGAGCTCCGGGACACACGGGCGACTCATGTTTGGACACGAAGAAAGGATTTGGGGTTCGTTCTACCAACACCTTTAAGCTCACACGCAAAAACGCTCCTAAACTGAGAATGACCCACGGAGTCGCACGGCTCAAAGGGGTTGACTAAGTGTTGATGCATCTCGGGAAAATCAAATTTCGGGGCGTGGACTAATCCTATGGCTCCATCATACTTGCTAGTGATAACTTGTGATGCTACACACCGTGGTAAGAGGGAACTATCACACCGAAAGAAACGAACAGCTCAAAGCTCACAGGCTACCGAGTTACCCAACCATCTATTCCAATTCATAAACACAATGCATGGCAATTGTAAACAACAAGTGATCAAGTCAAGACCTTCATTCATTTATGCACACTTTGAGAACTAAACTCTTGCCCTATCCTAATGAACTTCTCAGTCATCATCATAGGATATACTCAATCACATGCACAGTTCAAGATTAATGCCACAAACACGAGAATGTCCCACCATCCGGTCACTTTGAACATGCAAACATGCACGAGAATTTCCCACCATCCAGTCACTTTGAACATACAAACATTTCTGGGAGCCCTCAATTTTTTGAAATTTGGGCATACAAAAGGCTCCAAGCAACACCTCACTCACACAAGCACACTAGAAGACTACCCCCCCCCCCCCCACACACACACACACTTAAACTCGACATTGCCCTCAATGGCGTAAGAAAGGGGTAGAGTGATGTTACCGCTTGGGCATGGTGAGTGAATGTAGGAATCGAACCGGGGTAGGATAATTGAAGCTTCAAGGAGAGACGACAAAAAAAAAAAAATACTCACAAGCACAATACGACTCGCTCGAGGCGAGGTTATTACTAGCACAATACATAGTAGTAGTAGTTCATGTCACACACACACAAATAACAAAAAGAAAAAATAAAACAAGTTTAGGGTTACAAGTAGAGAAGTGGGGGCGAATGGACTCTGCTCTGCCACATCTCTCTCTCGTCGGCTACCTCTCTCCGGTGGATGGATCCTCTCCATCATCGGTTAGGATACCCTGATGTTGAGCCATGCGCTCGAGGATGTCGGACTGTCGCTTGAGGCGGGATGAGAATCCCAAGAATCCCGTCTCAAGGCGATCCACCCTCTCGATGAGGGGATCGCCTGCTCCTGGTGGTGGTAGCTATTGTGCAGGGCGCCGGCGTCCGTGTGCATGAGCAGGTGGCTGCTCTCCTGCTGGCGGGACCTCGGGGTCGGGACTCAATGCCTCGATGTACCGCATTGAGCCAAAGGTGCGCAATAAGAGCATGGAGTGCAGAGTGCCTTCGTCAAATCTCTGAGTGCCTCCCTCTTTAGAGCACCCTAAGAGGCTGACATAGAAGTATCTGGCAAGGCGGGTGATGTACGGACCCATGGATGTGACGTAACGACGAGTCCCCCCTTTGGCCCTGGCAAAAGATGTGGCTATGACTGAACCCAGGTGCAACATGCTTGACCAGTCCACCATGCAAACACACGCCAGTAAGATTCTCTCGGTAATCTTGTTTGGATTGTG